TTTGATGTGATTTATTATTTATTTATGCTTACAGAACTGGGGTACAGGCCAGAGGTGTGGTGGGAGAGAGGAATCACCAGAGACAGAGTGGGAAGCAGAACAGGAAGATGTACTGAAATACACTGCTGAGGGGAACAGTGGTGGATTAGGAGAGGTCTGCCACACCATGTGGAACCTTCCAGGCTGGGGATCGAACTCCTGCTGCAGTGGCTTCAGAGAGCTTCATAATGCGGTGCTCTAACCCATTGCACCACCAAGTAGAGCCTGGCATATATATTTTATCAGGTTATCTTGGGAAATTTTTTATTCCACTCCCAGGGTTACAAAAAATGAATTGATGGACTAAAGGATCTTTCAAACCAAAATTTCTAGCATTTAATTAAACTCAGAAGCTTTTCTAAGTAGGTAGGTGGTAGAATAGACTGATCTGGCAGAGGATGGCGCTTTCGTTATAATTTGAAGAAGAATAGGGGGCATTTTTTAAAAATGACCTTTGTTGAGGTGTGATTTACATACAACGAAGTTCAGTCAAACTTTGATAGATTCTGACCACTGTGCACCATCACAATCATGATAGAGCCGATTCCCACCAGCTGACGTATTGCATGCATTCCTTTCAGTTAGTCCCTACGCCTACCCTCACAGACAGGGCTTCTTGCGAATGGAATCATACAGACTATCTGTAATTTTCTGTTTCTGACTTTTCATTTAGAACAGTGCTTTTGAGAGTTGTTTTCATGTTGTTACATGTATCAGTGATTCCTTGTAATGGTTGAGAGGTCTTTTAAGGTATTGATAGGGCACAGTTTATCTTTTAAATAGCTGTTGCAAATTTCGGTTGCTTACAGTTTTAAGTTACTGTGACTGTAGCTGCTATGACCATTTAAGTATAAGAATTGGTGTGGGCATATACTTTTATTTCTCTTAGTAAATTGCTAATATGTTTGCTTTTCAAAAGATATTATCTATGTATGTCTACATATATACACACATATATCCACACAATGGGTTGTTATTCAGCAGTAAAAGGGAATGAATTACAAATACAGGATGCGATGTGGATGGACCTCGGAAGCTTTAGCCTCAGTGAAAAAAAGTGAGACACAGCAACCACATATTTTGTGATTCTATTATATTAAATATCCAGAAAGAGCAAAGCTATAGTGGCAGAAGGTAGCTTTGTTATTGCTTGGAGTGGGAAAACAAAGGATAGAGTAATAGTAAATATTCATGAGGTGATGAAATGTTCTAACGGTCATTCATGGTGACTGGTAAATTTTCTAAAAAAATAATCATTGAATTATATAATATGCCAAAAATACCCCAATTTTAAAAAGACATTGTTAATTAAATAAAAAGATAAGCCACAGACTGGCAGAAAATATATATATATATAACCTATATTTGAAAAGAGTCTTATACTCAAAATATATTTAAAAATTCTCCTAACTCATTAATAACAGTAGAATATACATTCTTCTCACATGCTCAAGGAAATTTCTCCAGGATAGACCATTTGTTAGGTCATAAAACAAGTTTCAGTCAGTGAGAAAAGATTGAAATCATACAATGTCTTCTAGTTACAATGAAATTAAATTGGAAGTCAGTTAATTAGGAAATTCAGAAATTAGCGAATATGGGGAAATTAAACAACAAACTTCTAAATAGTAATGGTCAGAGTATATAAGTATGTAAATTAGAACATACTTTGAGATTAGTGAAAATACCCAAACTGATGAGATACAGCAAAAGCAGCACCTAGAAGGAAATTTATAGCAATCAACACCTTTAGCAAAAAAGAACGCTCTCAAATCAATAATCTAGCCAACAAACACTGAGAAACTAGAAAAGAATAAACTAAACATAAAACAAGCAGAAATTAGAAAATAATAGCAGCGTAGAAAATTAATGAACGCTGCCTACTCTGTAGAGTTGCTGGGGTTAAAAAGGCTAGCAGCACAGAGATTGGCAGGGATGTGAGGGAACCTGGCACATCGATGGTGGGGATGCAGGAAGGCACAGACAGTTTGGAAAATGGTTTTCCAGTTTCTTGCAGAGGTAAATGTGTACTTACCATGTGACTTATCTACAGGTTTCTGCTTTTCCTTAAGCCATGCTATTTTTTTCTATGTTAGAATTTCAAATAAGAACAGAGCAATTTCTTTAAGACAGTATCACCAAATAAATATGTTCAATAACAACACAGTTGTTCATGTTAATGCCTGAAAGTCTTGGAAATAAAACTATAAGTGGAATGACTCGTTCTAATTCCTAGATATTTGGGTCTACATAAAGTGGATTTTAGCTTGGTGCAAGTGTGTTCTTTTAAGTTACTCATTTATGTGAGGTCTGACAATTTACTCTCCGTGATTGACTGTAGGTAGCCCCCATGAAATTTTGAAGCAATGACTGATCTCTCATTTAGAATCTGAAGTTACCAGTTTTCTGGTGCCAACATAGATTCAGTCTCAGGTTTTGAACTTACTTTCTTTTCATAATTTTGTAGGTTTATTGCTGCACCTCTAGCAAAAGCATTTGGCATTAAAGAAGGCGGTCGAAAGAAGATTCCACCAAATGCCATATTAGAAAATTTTATCAAACATTCCACAAGGAAACCATCTCGAGTAAGTATAAATTCTTTCATGTTGGATTTTAAGATCTCCCTTCTAAATGTTCTAGTCACCTGTGGCTTACTTCATCTGTGCAAGAAATCTGTCTCAGTTGACTGGTAAATATTTTGATTCATTTGGATTTTTTTCTTTGCTCGAACAACAGGTTATAGGTAACATTTCAAGCATAATATAAAATCACAAATAAATAATATCATATAAAACAACCAGTGTGAACCATTGAACTATAGTACTCAACTTACACAACTCCAGGGCTCGGCACTAACCATCAATACTGCAATTAGGCAATAAACAGCAATACTTGGTTTCTAGTGGTGGACTATTGGCAAATTGTGCTGATCAAAAATATTGTTAAGACAGAGTAGACCACATCTGACACGTTCAATAATTAGGACACCATCACCTCAGGTGACACACACTATATAAATGTCCACTGTGGTTACTTTCATGAATACGGAGCTTTATTTTACCCGAGGTCTCAACACAGTCAGAAACACGCCACACACCCCCACCCTCAGAGACCGAAGTTTTAGGAAAGCCAAACTTCTCTTCCCAAACCAAGATACTGTGGTGCACTGCCAGCTTCTAGACCAAAGGGAAACTGCATCATGATAGTGTCCCGGCAAGTCTAGTGTCATTATATTTCCTTAGTTAAAAATGACAGAGAAGACAGCCCTCCCCCCAAACCAGCACATGTCTCCAACACTGACAGCTGTTGTCAGTGATCCTTCAGGTATATGTGAACGCAGTTTCACATTCAGTCAAGTACTTCTCAGGGTACCGGAACTTTGTTTGCTGGGTTCAGCTGCTGCTTCTGTGACTGCTGCTGCCCCTGGAGAGGGGGCAGCATGCCCTGTTGAGACATGACCATGTGGTTCACAGAATGAGCCACAGGAGCCAGGGCTGCCCCTCTTGCTCTGCCCTCGGCTTCAGAACTGGGCTTCCCTTAGCTTGGAGCAGGGCAGTCTGAGGAGACCACACCTCCACGTACTCTTTCCTGCTCTAGGTGGTTATAGTTGTCCGTCTGACTGTGCCATAATAGTACTTTACATTTCACATGGAAAATCCTTCAGCTAGGTTTGTGAAACAGGAAGTCTCTTTTAGAGAGTCATTCTGTTTGAGAATGAATAACTTTGATAATGCTTTGTACAATAGGTTAAGAATAGAGCTGCATTTTTAATAACCTGTTGAACTTGGGGTAGCCAAGAACCTCAAGTCAGCGCTTTAGGATATTTAGTGATGAGAAAATTCAGCCCTTATCCAGGTTTCCCATGATGGACAGAAAATAGTCATGTGGTAATTAGAGATTATGTAATCTTTCCTTTTCATGATTGAAATGAAGAACGTAGGGCCCAACAGGACAAGAGCTGTCCAAGGTTAGACAGCCAGTTCGTGACTGAATCCGAAGCGAGAGCCTGATCCTGGCTCCTGTTCAGTGCCATGTCTGCTGTGCCTGTGTGGCTTTGTTATCTGTGAACATAAGTTAAATATGCATTTGAAAAGTTGGTGCTTTGTTTGTAGTAACCGCTCTAACTCAGTTGACATTACAGTATGGCTTCCTGCAGACATGTACATTTGCATCAGGTAGACCAAGAAAGGTTATACATCAACCCTAAAGAATTAGAGAGCTTCAGATACTAACTAAGAGTTGAAGCAAGTTATTAAGATGTTTAGTTTATGCTGTTAGTAGATTATGCTGTAGCAGATCAAGAGATGAGCAAGTTAAAAGTACTAGCAGTGCAATAGAGTAGAGGAAGGAAAAGTACAGGATTTAGTGACTTCAGATGTGGACAAAAAACAAAGTCACAATACCTGCACACATTAACTTGACCCACGTCCTTCAGACAGCACTGTGCTTAAATTAATGGGGTATAGGACAAGCTGCCGGGGGCACTAGAAAGATTTTGCATTCATCAAAATAGGACTAACTCTAGTAGATTATTCTAAACCTATAATGAAAGAATGTTGCATTGTTAAACAGGTAGATAATTCTTGGCTTAATAAAACGCTCAGATGCCTGAGCCTGAGGATGCTTCTTTAGCTACCATAGATTGCACCCATTAAGACAAAGACAGCGCAGTATCTACACTGTCAATGTGGACTGCTTAGCACGGAGTCTCTGGAACATGATATTGGTGAGACCCAAATATTATATACATGGGCCTCCAGTGAGAGTTTTGACTTATGATTTTGCACAGTTATCTTATGACTGTGTGTGCAGCTGTGTGTCCATTAGTAATGTGTGTGTGTGTGTGTGTGTGCACGCGTTTTTGTGTCGTCTCAATAACAACTCCAAGATGTATTGGGAGACAGCCATGGGAACAGACCAACGGTTCTTGCCAACAGATTAATTACTCTGCTATTGATAAAAGGTAGTAACAGCAGAGCTTACTATCTAGCCTGTTCTCTTAGCAGAGCATGAGGACCAATGCCACATAAATATGTAGCTCTGGAAGAGATCTAAAGAAAACAAGGCTGTAAGACTGACCTAGCACCAGAGCTCATGGCCACTCAGGACATTCCAGACAACTTGCTTATCTCCTCCATAGATTCCAGTATCTTCAGAGCAGATGTCTAGATTGGTAGTTTGTTTTGCAGATGAGCCCTGTGGGATGCAGAGCGGCCGGCTGGTTCCCCCACAGTCCTGGAGGCTGTTTCTAGTCTCTCGGGTTCCCCCCGCTAATGCTGCTTCTCCTCCTTACTGTCTGCCTGTGAGGCTGTCCCTTCACTCTCTACAGCACAGAACCAAAAAATAGATGGTGAGGGCGGACCCTGGGGGTCCAGGCCCTGGTTCTGCCGAGACAGCGTGGGAGGCGGCAGAGAGCCTCCGTGGCTGCCTTCGTGACTTGCACATGATGATGGCAGTCATGTCACTGCCTCTGGGGAGGATCGAATTCAGGACTTAGAGGGGCGCCTGGCACAGAGTAGATGCTCAGGAAGGGCGATTTGTTGTCTGCGCCTGTCAGGGGCTGGCTTCTTCGGGAGCATTTTTAAACGTCTTCCCAATACAAATTATCCTGAGGGAGCATCATTTGGTTCTTAGTCATGCTTATTCTCTTTCCCATAATGTTGTGCACAATTTTGTGAATTTAGATATTCAATAAGTGCTTATTTCATGTTAATGAAAGAAAAACCCTAGAGACTTGCTGGTAAGAGGATGTCTCTCCAAGGATGTTGTATTGTCCGAAGCCGTGCTGACAGACTGCCTTCTCATCTGTGCTCCAAAACAGAAAAAAAAAAAAACAAAAAACCCCACCTCGAATCATGCTCAGTCACTGTCTTCGAGGTGCATTTACTAAACTCATGTCTGTAGAAATGATAGTGTAATAGCACTGTATGGTCCTCAGATCTGGGAAAATTCCAGAAGGTAGGAGTTGCTTTGGTCCCTGCTAAATCTCCAAAGCCCAGAATGGTGCCTGGCATGAGCGAGTCGCCTCGCTAGCTGCTTTTAAGTGGCTGAATAGATGACACAGCTCAAAGAGCCCTGCCAGACCAGAGATGTTTCCCTACTTTCCCCTCTAAAACTGGACAGAATAAAGAGCTGCTGTTTTAGAACGTGTGATGCTGGAGCGTTTCAGAAAGTGTCCCACTGTGGGCCAGGCAGTGGGATTTGAAGAATGCCCTGTTTGGGAGGATCTGTCCCTACTTGGAACTGTTTGAGAAGTAAAAGAATACTTTTTCTCCCATCATCCCAGTCCACAACCTTCTTCCTGGGTCCCTTCATCTCCAGCACGCTCTAGCAGAAGATGGCACAGTCACACTCAGGCCCCAAACCTTCTCCCCATTCCTGGGAGGCAGGAAGAAAACCCCCTCATTGCCATCACCCCACTTCCAGAAGGGCCTGGTAAATGTTCAAGGCCACATAGCCAGGATATAGCAGAGCTGGGTCTTTTGCTTCCACTTGTACTGGCCCCAACACCTGCCTTCCTCTCCCTTCCTGGAGGGAGTAAGATGAGCCTGGTGCCGCCTGGGCTCCTGTCCAAACGTCCAACCGTGTCTGGCCTGCAGTTCCAGGCTCTTGTGGTGAGGGCCGAGGCCTAGGACAAAGTGAGCCCGGTCTCCCTCCTGCTCCTGCCTTTTCCACCCTGAGAGGAGGGCTATCCACATGCAAATATCCTGTAGCCCACATGGTAAGTTCCAGACCAAGACCCTCTCTGACGTGGCGTCAGCCCCCTCCCCCTCCCACCCACCTCCCCCCACAGCAGGCCAGGCTCCTTTCGGCTCTCACCCTTCCTTCCTCTGCCCTCTGCCGGGTCCTTCCTGCTGCATCTTCTCCTTCTGGGACATTTTCCAGGCTGCAGCTTCAATGTAACTTCCAGGACCCGCCAAGGTAAAGGCAGATCCACGGTACCCTAGTGCCCCCAGTCTCAGCACGCAGGGGGTTTTCTGACCTCCTTCCCAGGCAGCCTGGGCACCCCATGTCAGTGTGAAGGGGAGACATGGATCAGTCTTGTTCCACAGGCACCTGGGCTGGGCGACGCCCGCCGGCGGGGGCCCACGAGCACCTGCAACTCCGTCTCCTGAGAAAGTCAAGGCGTTAGCACAGCCGGCGACGCCTTGGCCTGCACCGGGCGGCGCCTGGAGGGCGGCGCAGGGCTGCGGCAGCTTTTGTTTGGCCTCGTCTGTGTCCTGTCTTGGGCTGGGGCCCGCGGCCGGGCCTGCAGTCTAGGGGCCGCAGCGGTCGCCAGGTGTCCTGGTGTGAAGGCGTCTCAGGAAGCCGCATGAACTCTGTGTGCAGCACAGCAGGAGCCACACCGTCACAAAGCGTTGGGTGGCCCCCACTGGCCCCCACGGGCACGGTCGGGTGCTCACAGTGTTGCTCCCCGATGGACTCGGGCCTCCTGCTCATCTCAGCGCTGCCACCGACGACCAGCTTCGGGGAGTGCATTTTTCTCACGGTAAATGAAGAGAAAACATTTCATGTTGAAGTGTGGAAGATCGAGAATCCCGACGTGTCAAAACCAGTGACAGGAGCTGCTTCTGCGTGGGAGCGGAGCGGTTGAACACCACACACATCTGCGGGGAGCGAAGGGCCGCAGTCCCCTGGGCGCCAGGGGGCCGCGTGCATGGCCTCAGCGAATGCAGCTGTGCATCGTCACCTCAGCTGCTGCTCCTCAGAAGAGACACAAACGTCGTTAGTACAGCCTGCGACCTGCACTTTTTTTTTTGCCTGGAATGATCTCACATTGCCATCTGATTACAACTGTGACAGTGATAGCAAATACCTGTTTGAGTTTCCCCTGTGCCGTCTTTCAGCGCTGGGAAGGTCGTGTGAAGCAGCGGGGCCTGGCCAGCCGGACCTGGGTCTGGCTCGGCTACGGGGTCTAGGTCTTGGGCAGGTTACTGAGCTGCTCAGGGCTCCCGTTTCCTCGCCGGGAAATGAGGAGATGGGATTCAGAGGGCGTCTTGAGTGGCTGACTCCAGCCCCTGAGATTATCAAATCTCCCGAGCGCGGAAGCTCGCCGGTGAGCCTTGAACGTGGGGGTTGCTGCCAGCTTGTGGGAAAATGACCCAGAGGGCTGGACCACCGCCTCTGGGGTCTCACTGCATGGGCATGAGCGCGTGTGTGGTTCCTCAGCAAAGGAGGGACGCTCCCTGGCTCGGATCTCACTGCTGTGTGCTCGCACTCCCAGCCGGCTTCACGGTGACCGTGTCACGCTTTATCGCTCACTGGTTCTTTCATCTCGTCCCGTTTCAGGCCGATATTTACGGACTGGCAAAGAAGTCTAACTTGACAGAGCGCCAGGTTGAAAGATGGTTGAGGAGTTGGTGGAATCAAGACAGGCCTTGCAGGATGAAGAAATTCCAGGAAGCTAGGTAAGAAGGCCGGTCGGGGCCTGGACGCGCCGCAGCTCTTGCAGCAGGGACAGAACACTGAGCCGGAGCGGGCGGGCGGGGCCCAGGCGGCCCTGCGAGGGCCGAGGGGGTGTCTGTCCAGTCCCCCGTCTGCCCCTCGTACCACGAGCAGTACTCGGTGTGAATTATCCTTGGTCAGGGTCACCGGCCGTTGATGGGGCTGCACTGAGGGCTCCTGACTCCTTTGCTGGTCTTTCTGCTCCATCATATAGTCCCTTGCCACCTACTACTTACTTCTGAGTAAGCAGGGAGCCCCCCATCCAGTAACTGAGGCAACAGGGTCTAATGTTGGGGCCCTGACTCTCAGTGAGGCTGCTCAGAGTCGGGTCCAGAGTTTGGGCCACAGCAGAGAGCTTCAGAAGTTACACCAACTGTCTTCTCTGTGCCCAGCACCATCCTGGGTTGTGTGGAGTTCTAGATTTCAACAGGGAGGTGCAGGAGGCCTGGCACTAGCCTGGACCAGCGAACCGGGGGGTGGGGGGCTGTCACTTCTAGCCCTGTCTAGCATCTGTGTGACCCCGCAAAGGCGGTGGGCAAGCACACTGCTGGCCTGTGGAGCATGCTGTGGGTGGCCAAGGGGCTGCCGCTGGCAGGACGGGTGCCCTGAGGGTCAGACTCCTTAGGGGCTGTCAGCAAAAGCGGGCCTTGGAGAAGTGGTCTTCCCCAAGAAAGGAGAGCAGGACTCGAGGGAGCACGTTTCGAGGAAGACAGAGGCAGGAAGCTGGAAATGATACGTGTATTCAGGAAACAGGAGGGCCCATGAGTTAAACGTAAGCATCCTGGTATTCCTTAGTAACGTCGCAGATTTCCTTGAAGTCAGATAATGTTAGACGTGATTGTGGACAGAAGACACATTACATCAAAATGCCGAGTATTTATGATGGCGGGCTGCACTTTATGTCACCAGCTGCTGGGTGTGCGGTGGGGATCAAAGCGAGAGCTGACAGCCCCGGGCATTTTGGAGATCTCAGGGCACTGGAGCCCCACTCTGAGCCCCTGCGGCCGCCCTGTGGCAGTCAGAAGCCCCCTCCACAGCAGGAGGGTGGATTCGCCGCCAGATGCCCTAAATCCAGTGTATTCGTTCCTTGGCCATTTTCTCAGAGGTGACCCCTAATTCCTATTCATAGCATTCAGGATGTCGGCCTACAACTACACGCTCCCTTGTAAAGTAAGCACTTCTACCAAACAGTACAAGTCGACTGTGAAAATGCCCAGTACTTTCCAGCACTAGCTGGCCAAGTGCTAGAGGAAGGGGTTCTCCTCCCAGCGGGGGGTCGGTGCCTGGCCCCACCGGCTGCCCCCGCCTCTCCCCACGGAGCCCAGACTGGCCTGTCAGTTTCTCTGCAGTCTCCTCTGCACAGCCCTCCCCGACTCCAGCCTGCGGCCTCACCTCTGTTACCGTCACACCTGGCCAACCACGTTCTGGACTTTTCCTTTTCACTATGTTTGTCTTCCTTTCATGTCAAGCAAGGGTCAGCGCATCGCCGAGTCTCTGCTAGGGAAGCAGAACCGTTGTGCAGGTTTCAAGCCCCTTGGTTCTCTAAAAGAATATTAGTGACCCCTACAATCACTTTCTTGTGCACTTCATAGTGTTGGCATAAAAAACAGTAAAAAATAGAAACTGAGACATTTAAAAGCAGGACCACGCAGGGTCCTCCTCAGCCCGCAGGGCAGTGAAGCCACCCCAGGTCCCGCCGTGGTGTCTGGAATCTCCACTCGTGGGCAAACGGAAAGTAAATAACACATGATCACTATGAGCCTGCTGTGGGTTCGGGGTCCCTGGCACCCACTCTGAGGACCCTGGTGCAGCGGCCTGCAGCCCGGTGGGCTGGCCGGGCAGCCGGAGCTGGAGTCCCACGCCGGCGCCTGGTACGCTCAACCCCGTGAATCAGGCGACCGCTCAGCTCGTCTCCTGGCACGGCCATCTTTCATTTGAGGCTGTTGTGAGAACCACGCAGCCATCCACCCAGAGGGGCTAATTACAGTGTCTGCTTCCCACGCCTGTGGAGATGGAACTCGGCCCGCGCGTCTGCTCAGCACCGTGCCTGCTCCCAGCCAGAGCCGAGGCGCGTCTCAGAGACAGGGTTCGCCCGGTGCTGCCGGGTCTGTGGCTGCCTGTGTGGGTGACGGGACTATGGGCGCCTATTTTTCATGCTTTGTGTTTGAGCAAAAAGATCCAGGGAGCCAAGGCAGTGCTGTCTGTCTGGAAACACGGGCCGCCCTCCCTGAAACCAGTGAGACAGGCCCGGCCTTCTCATTTTGCAACATCCCCTTTGGGTATTTTTGTGGCTCAGCCTTGAGTAATTGAACTCTCTTTTGCTCTATCAAAACAAGCCAGCGGAAAGACTGTCGTCCAGCTTCGAAGCAGGGCTACACCGAGGACACACTGCAAGTGGGACTCGGGGCCAAAGGTCTCCGCTCGGGCTGCAGCCCCGACAGCTCCCACAGGCCAGCTGGGAGGACGGCCTCGCCTTTGGGGTCTGAATTACGCTGTCACTAGAGCTGTGCCTGCAGTTCTCGTTGGGCCGTCCTCCCGCTCTGCCCCGCCCCTTCCCTACCTTCTTTCCTTCAAGACATACGTGAGGCCTCACGCCCACGTGGAGAGCAGATAGTGTGTTTATTATTATGACTGCTTTGGTTTCAGAAATCATCAGATAAAATAGCTTTTTCAAGGCCACGGATGATTTTCTTTTTTTTCTCTGGCATAAGCAGAGATATTTATTATATATTTAAAAATTTTATTACAATAGCTTATTTTTACATCATTTTGTGCCTTTTGCCATCTCAGTTGCAATCCCCGTGGGCTTCCCATCACCAAATCTCCCGTGTGCCATCACCATAGTACCGCGCACCCCCCCCCCCCCATTTTTGACCCTGTTCCCCACTCCACCCCGGTGAAATGTCTCTGGCTACAATTGTTCATTGTGATCATTTTCCCCTGCTCCTTTATGCGCCTCATAGCAGGACGGACAACCTTTTCTTCGCAATGTCGCAAACACCCAGGAGTAGGGAGGTCGGTGTCCTGCACCGTCTGCTCGTCGTCAGCCTCAGCGCAGGGAAGTCCTGTGGCCCGGGCCCGCCGCTGTCCCCGCCACTGGTGGGTTTTGAAGCAAATGTCAGATACTTCAGGATTTCATTTGCATTTAATGTGTGTCTTTAAGAGATAAGGACTTTTTACTTTAAACATAATCGCTACATCTAAATCAATCTTCTATAATAACAAATATTCAACATCCCTATTTTCTTTTTGATCTCATGCTTATCATTTCATTGATCTAAAGAAGATGCATGCATTGCAGTAGGTTGTTAGTTTTTTTTAAGATTCTCAAGGTAAAGATTCCCCCCCCCCCCACATATGCAAAAAAGATACTGTTTCAAAGTCTGCATTTTGGAGACAAGACTAAACTTTGGCCACAAAGAAACGTTTTCACTGGAAATCGAGTTGGGATAAAATAAGTGATTAGCTAATACTAAGATCTACCATCGCTTTTTGTCACTCGGCACTAGGCTAGCAGTGGTGAGGATGGTCGAGCTCCTGGTGCTGGTGATAATGCTGGTGCTTGTGTGGCGCGCATGACAGTGACCACAGCAACTACCTATTTTTTTCTCACACCATAATGGGCACTATGAGCAATAAATACATTTTATAAATCACCCTCAGTTCCTTTTTTTTTAAAATAATATAATAGTTTATTTTTACATCATTTTGTGCATTTTCCCATCTCAGTTGTAATCCCCGTGGGCGTCCCATCAACCCTCAGTTCCTTTTAGCTGTGTTTTTTAAATTGAGGTAATGTTGGTTTACAGTAGCACCAGAGATAGAGTCAGAGGTTTCGGGCCGCACCTCCCCAGACACCATGCCCACCACCAGGGTACCCCTAATTCTTCTCCACAGTGCACTTTGTTCCCCATCTTCGGTCTGTTTTCTATCTGGAGGTAAGTTCCACTAATCCCATTTCACAGGTGAAGCTAAGGCCCCCCCAGGTTGTAACTTAGGTACAGAAAGGCGTAGCCGTCCAACAAGCGAGAGAGCCAGGACATGAGGGTGGACCTGTCCGAAGCCGGAATGTGTGTTCTTCCCTAACCTGACCGTACCAGATGCTTTTGTCCTCAGATGTCAAGCACCTTTACAAGTCTTCTTTCTTTTGACAGCTGGCGGTTTGCATTTTACTTAATGATGACCATTGCTGGAATTGCCTTTCTTTATGATGTAAGTGTCCTTTTGGCATCTTTGAAATTTGTCTTCAGTTTTTAAAGACAGTCCTTCTTCAGCTCTTCCCTGTGGATTCCTTAGGACATATGTCTTTCAATAAAAGAAACCAGCTTTTAAAGCACCAGACCCTTGGAAGCCTAAGAAAGAACAGCTCCTCAGTGTGCCCTTCAGTGCTTTCATTCAAAGCTATGTATGTGCCAAGTTAGTTTTCAAATCTAATTTCTCCCTGTTTCTACTCATGCAACCCACGCACCACCCTGCATTGGACTGTTGACCATCTGCTGGACATACCTGTTGTATGCCCACTTTTGCATTTTTGTACACCTTCTCACCTCGGCCAGAAATGTCTTGCCCTTCCTATCTCTAGCCATCCTGTCCCATATCAAATGCCACTTGTTCCATGAAGACATTCATTAATTGCCTGTCAGAAATCAGGTCTTCTCCTAGGCTCGTCCCATTGCATTGTCTGTTTAAATAATGACCAACTAGTGACCTCACTGTGTGATAAACTCAGGAATAAATTGTTCACAGAAAAATAAAAGATAACCAAGTTTTAGAGATTTCTCTGGGGACATTTTATTGTTACAGATGTCTCAAGATATTTCATTACTACAGAAGCAGTAATCTAATTGTTTCAGAAGTGATCTCACCAGAAGCCTCACTCGTTTGAAGCTGTTTGCTGTGACAGCGCTGTCTCTGGGCCCAGTGCAGCAGAATCATGCTGTCGGAGCGCGTTGCCGAACGCAGCGTCAGGGCTGGGGGCAGACGGGTGACAAGAGCATTAAGACTGATGAAGGCTCCACCCTGCACCTCTGCCCTGCCAGGGACATGGGGGGGCGGGGGGCTTATCTCTTCTGCTGACACCGAGCTTATTTTGTTCTTTTGGCTCCATGTTTGTTTGTTTGTTTGTTTTTCCCAGAAACCCTGGGTGTATGACCTGTGGGAGGTCTGGAATGGCTACCCCAGGCAGGTAAGGCCCCCCCCCCCCCCCCGCCCGCATGCCCCTTCCCTAACTGAGGCCCTCAGGCCCTCAGAGTGTCCCTGGGTTAGTTTTGCGCTCCCCTCCTATTCTCGGCCCAACTCTGTGTAAAGCGTGGCTTTTTATTTGCCATAGTTAATATGGCTTAGTTCTTAGACCATATTTAGCCACATCGCTCATTCCTTTCATTTGGTTACAGTTACCGTAATTACATATTTGAGTTTAAAACTACCACGGTAAATATTTGAATTAAGAGAATCTAATACCAGTTAGTGTTCTTCCTTCTCTTTAGTCACTGAAAGGTCCTTAGAACACTCCACATGTCCTCCTAGGTCCTCCTTCACATATCTGAAACCACACAATTCATTACTACTGCTGTTTTGTAAATGAGTCAGATCAGTCTCCCATGATTTTCCTGTCTCCTTTTGCCTGGTGACTTTGACTAAATAACAGACAATGTGTGTGAAATGTTATAAAACTCTAACGTGCTGCTGTCTTCTTCATGAGTTTTCCCTTTTATTTCTGTTAGTTACTGATGGTAGAGACTCATCTACTGTTAATCTTGCATATGACTGGTCAGAATTAGTGTGGACCCGAGTTTCACTCAGGGAAGATATATTTACAAATTTCCCCAAAAATGGGGTGCTTTCTGCATCTGGTTCTAAACTTAAAAACCACAATGTTTACCAAAACTATTTTCCTTTGTTGTCCCTAACCAATTTACTTCCTACTATTATCTGATTGTCAAAGGCTTACTTAAATTATTCTGTTGGTTTTTTTAGTCTCTGGAGCCTATACTGCTTGTAAGTCAAAAAAAGCAGGTTTTATGTTATGCACAGGTGTGGTTTTCTTTAGAGTTTATCTGTCTTAGGATCTGTTGTACTCTTGAACTAAGGATTCACATAAATTTAAGGGTTCATTTAAACGTGTTAAATTTGCAGGTTCTGGGTGTCTTGTTTGGTTCCTGATGCCTTCAGAGATTCTTTCTCTGCTTTATTCAGAATTTTTGTTGTTGCTGTTCTCACTAGGTTTATTCTCATATAGGTTTGTCATAAAAGAAAGCAAAAATTCTGACTCATTTTTTTATAGCCTGATTGAGGATGAGGAGTTGACAAAACAGTTGCCTCTTTTAACGTTTTAATCTCAGCATTAAACAGTCAAAGCAAGTTCAACCATAAGTACGTAGGCATTGTCCCGTCCAAATCCCAGTTTTTTCATTCCTACCTCTAACTCACTTTTAGCTTCTTGGGTGTAATAGTTATCTATTGCTACACAGCAAACTCGCTTCCCAAGACTTAGTGCTTTAAGGCAGTCATTTACTTACTCATGACTTAAGTTAGAATTTTTGAACAGAGTCCCCCAGCTGCGTAGCTCTTCTGTGTCATGTGGTGTTAGCTAAGTTCGTGCATTTTCGGTCAGTTGGCGTGCAGCAGGCACCTGCTTCTCTTCTTTGTGACCTCCGTCAGGATAGCTCAGGTCTTGCATGGTTTATGAGGTCTCTACTTGCATCACACCATCAGTGCCCCTTTGACTAAAGCCCAAGGTCAAATCATGGTCAGTGTGGGAGGAAGCCACATTAGGACATGGCTATCATGAGGCCAGTAGGTTCACAGGGGCGTTAATGTCACAGTCCATCACACCAGTAACATAATCCTTCAACTTACTTAAAATAAGCAACCACCTGCACTATTAAAATATTAAGAAAAGTTCTAGCTATAAATATTTCATCTTTTTTCTCCCCATGGTAGTATTAGAGTTCTTAAATAATTAATTATTTTATTACACGTTATGATTCTTCTAGTTGAGAATGGGCCAAATCTGATCACCACTCTCTCACCAGATAAGAGGTTAGGACATCAGATTTGGATTCGTCTTCAGCAAATATTAATCAGGATAAATTATGGAAGCAGCAGAATAGACTTGCCATTGATCTTAAAGAAATGTTTTTGTTTTTCTAATTTAGCTCTCAGCCAAGTAAAATAAGCCAGTCACACCTGTTATAGTTTTAACTGTTAAACACAACATTCCACTTGATTTTGGAATTCTTTCTAGAAATAAAATGCCTCAAGATAGTATCTCTTATTCCTTATTGGAAGTATAAATCACCACTACTTAAGGGGAATTTGGGAGAATGGAAATAGGTATAAATAATAATTGTAATGCCTGAAAGCGAGTGGATTGTAAGGTGATAATAAAACAGTGGCGCTTCTTTTCCCAGCCCCTGCTGGTCTCGCAGTACTGGTACTACATTTTGGAGATGAGTTTTTATTGGTCTCTCTTATTTCGCCTTGGCTCAGACGTCAAGAGGAAGGTAAGTGTCTTATTTACAAAGCTGCTTGATCCAATTTTTCAAAAACTTTCACCTCCCACTCCCAAATTCTAATCTTTGTGTTTTTGTGCATGTTTAATTACAGTTCATAGCTTTTTTGGCTTTTTCATAGCACACAGAACGGTGCAAATTAAGCTCATGCTTCAGTGCCTTGGTAAATATTTGGAGTAAAACACCATAGAACCTTTAACTTGGAAGCTCTACCCTGGTTCAGTAAGAAAAGACGTCTCTGTGTGCTGTTTCTTTTGGCTTGGTAATTTAACGCTCAGTGCAAAGAAAAGCACTGGAAGTTTGCGTTCTGCAGCCACATCTAGTTGATGACAAACCACTCTCTCTACTTCTCATGTATTCAAAAACGTTGAAGACTTTTTTTCCTTCATTCACCCAAAATTTTTGTGAGAAAACCTTGCTCAGGCTTCGTTAGTTTTGTTTCATTCATGGGGAAAACCGCGTCATAGACACACTCACTACATCATGTGAGGCCTCAAAGTGCGGCATTTTAGGGACTTTTTGATCGATGCCAATTCCTGCTTGCTGGTATACTGAAATCTTGACCTTTTTGAAAACATCTTTATTGAGAAGTTAACTTTAATCACATCAACATGCAATCCATCTGAGCCAGCTAATGTGCATCATTCAGCAGTTTTTCCCCTCTGCTTACTAATAGCTGTATAGGATCACCTTGGAAAAGAAGTCATTTATTCATGGTGTGGGTGCCTAGAATAAAACATAACATTAACAGAGGACTTAGAAACTTTTGGCAGTAAGAATGCAGTGGCTGCTTTAGATGCTTTAGATAGCAACAGGAAAGACTCTCGGAAGAAAGTTCAGACAGTATAAATAAACTTATAGGTAAGTGTCTTTTTTTCGAGTGATCATATATGATTTTACAATTTTAAAAGATTTCATCTGAAAGTAGAACCTTTAAGTTGAGTATTTTCTCAGTGTTCTGCAGACACCACCACAGACCACTTTCTAAGATTCATCAAGTCAAAAGAAATCAGTACCTCTGGCAGGCACTCTCCACGCTCAGAACCCCCCGCCCAGGCAGCCACTAGGCTCCTTTCTGTCTCTGTGCGTTTGCCTCTTCCGGGCATCCTGTGTGAGTGGAGCCACATCATGTTTTGTCCCTGCGCCTGGCTTCTTTCGTGTGGTATAACTTCTCAAGGCCCACTCGTGTGGTGGGCTTTGGCAGCATGCACTAAGGCAGCACGCGCAGCTCCTTTCTCCTAGAGCACGCAGCCTGGTAGGGATACACTGCCTCCGTTTACCCGGTTACCAGCTGATGGGTAGTCAGGTTGTTTCTACCTTTTTGACTGTCATGAACAGTGTGACTGTCAACACTCGTTCATAGATTTTATTCATAGACATGTTTTATTTCTTTCAGATACGGTGTCTAAAAATGGAATTGTTGGGTTCTATGACAGTACTATACTTACAGCTTTCAGAAATGTCCAAGCTATTTAACAAGCAGTCACAACATTCTGCATTCCTACCGGCAACGGACCAGATTCTGATTTCTCCACATCCTTGGCAACACTTTGTTATTAGCCACTTTTTTATTATCGCTTTCCTAATGGGCATGAAGTAGTATCGCCTTGTGGTTTTGATTTGCATTTTTCCTGATGGCTCATCAGGTCGAGTTTCGTTTATGTGGGCTTATTGGGCATTTATGTACAGTCTGTGAAAAAAAACCTATAAGATTTTATGCTTAAATGTGCTAGCTTTCTGTCACTTAGATTTACTAACACGGGTACTCTTCTTTCATTTGCAACTTATCTGGTATGCAGTAACTCTTATTTTAATGGTTGTATAGTTGTATCATATTTGTCCTTTTTCCCATTTTGGAATTGGACAGGAAATAAGCAACAAATGTAATTACGTATAAGAATATGCATTTGTGCGTGTATGCGCGTGTGTGCGTGTGCGTGCGCGTGCGTGCGTGTGCGTGTGTGTGCGTGCATGTGCGTGCGTGTATACGCTCTCTAGGTGGCACCGTGGAAGAACAGCTGCTGTGAAGGGTTAGATGAAAGCTACTTGATTCTCTCTCACAGTGAAATGATTTCACCAATGAGGGTGAACTTGTCCAGTCTCCCTCACAAGGATTGTATTTAAGAACTAAAGTGAAAGAATTTTATGAATTTCAAATTATGCAGATGTAAGTTGTTGGTTTTTCAAATATTATTATTATTAGCTCTTCCAGTGATTGGGACATAGCTGTATTTGTTTAATGGTTTCCATTTCCCCCTCATTATGTAGGATTTTCTAGCTAATGTCATCCACCACCTGGCTGCTATTAGTCTGATGAGCTTTTCTTGGTGCGCTAATTATATTCGCAGTGGGACTCTGGTGATGATCGTGCACGATGTGGCTGACATTTGGCTGGAGGTAAGTCATTTGTCTTTGGTAATAATGCTCATAATAATGCTATGTCCTGGATTTCTGCAGTCATCACAGGAAGAATTGTCTGTGGGTGATCTAACCCGGCTCTCTGTCCTGCAGACAGTCCCAGTCTGTCTCTGGGTTCCCTGATGGCTCTAACTTAAAGATGTGAAACTTTACGTGTTTAAGTCCCCTGCACCCCCATTCTCCAGGGTACTTGAGAAGGGTCAGCTAGGGGGTTCCACTTGCAGGAGTTGCATGCAGATGCTAGCCTGGGGAGTAAGGCGAGATGTTTGACAGGGAATGAGCCCGACTGTGAAAAGGAAAACTTTGATTTCTTTCATCATGGGTTCTTCACATCGGATGATACCACATATTCACTTAAGCCTGAGCAGAATAGCCTCTTGCTCTACCCACACCGAACCTCTCCAGCTTTGAGGAAGAGGGTTAATGTTTAAATTACGGTTATTTTCTAAGAAAGAAATGTTTCTGGAGTAGGAAACAATAACCTAATCCCATACTACACAGAATGAAAGGGTTAGGAGCAAGACAACGCTAGGCATGTTCCCTTCCCCTGTCCGGCGTGGTTCCTGTTCACCTGGGGAGGTGCTCCTGACCCCTGGCGGCCTGTGCTCTGCCTATGTCACTCACCTGCAGTGAAGTCCCAGACGTGGTGCTGACGCCCTGAACGCTCAGGGTTGCCCCTGGAAGGGCGAATGGAATATATAGGCTGGTATGAAAGAAATGTAATTTCATTGAACAGCATCTTGTCCCTCAGATCAGGGTTCAGCAAACTTTCGGGAAAAGGGCCACACTTGATCTCTGTTACACGTTCTTTGGGTGTTTTTTTTTTTGTTTGTTTGTTTCCTTTCTTATACTCCTTTAAAAGTGTGAAAACCAGTCGATGCTCAAGGGCTGATCAACCTCAGCCCATAGACTGGACTGTCATTTGCCAAATTCTATTCTAGAGGTAACCAGAAGCAGCCATCTAAAGTAACTGGCAACTGTTAAAACATTATTAGCCATGTGTAGAGTTCTGCTTCTTGCATGTAATCATAATTAGCATGCAGCTCCCATGGTCAGGGCCAGATTATGCCATGTGCCGCAGCAGCAAGCGGCTCAGCAGGGGGCCGAGCGCCCTCCCCACACCTCACTTTCTGGACGTGGCGTCTCCCTGGACCGTTACGTCCTTCCCTGGCCACGTGCGCCTGCCTCACACTGGCTGTGAGCTCGTGCTGCCAGTTGCTTCTGGACCCTCTAGTTTGCAGCCTTTGTGTGTCGCGAACACACGACAGCTTCATTGTGTGGTGGAAAAGTCAGGTTGGGACTGGGAATATTTGCTGCCTGCCCCCACCCGCCCCATCGTTACCACCACAGAGCCCCCCAGGTGCCTCGGGCCTCTCTTCGTGCTTTGTTTTCTAGCCTCAGATGAAAAATGAGAAGTCGTACCTACCCCTTTGGGCATATTGTGAGGCTCATTATATTCTGAAATGTTCTGAGGCCCGTAGGTAACAAACAGAAGAAAAATGAAATGTCAGATTCAGAGGGCCCTTCACGGGGAAATGGTGAGAACAGACTCATGTGGTCAATGTCCATGAATCACTCTCACATCATGACCGAGGCGAGGCTCCCTGAGCAGCCTGGGGTTTCTGTCAGCTGGTGGCAGACACTGCAGTGGCGGCCGGGGGGGCCTGTTGTTGATGCTCTCCGGGGACGCCTGTTCACAGCATCCTCAAGTGTTTCTTTCAGTGCTTGTCGGTTCAGTCAAGTTCTAATTGAATGCAGACTTGGCACAACTTTTGCCCATGTAGACCTTTCTAAAGATGGAGTCTATTAATCTTTCTATTCCTCAAGGCAGTTGGAGGGTCATTTCTTAGCTTTCCCTTTACAAGGAAAAATAGCCTCCACATCTTTTATTCTTACTCATAAGAACATTTTGCCTGTCATGCAGCTTCCACATTTCAGTTTAGATCCAGGACCCAACACTTGAATAGTCTAACCGATTCCTAGCAAAGAAGGTTTTCTGTGTGATCATTGCCTGGTCCACATCATGCCGTGTGTTTGTTTGCCCGAAGGGGTGCTGCTCTGCCCCACCCACGTGTGTGCGCCATGCCGATGGCATATCTAGCTGCCCACCCTCAGCCAGTGCCCCCTGCCCTTCCAGGCAAGCCACACTGCTGGCCTTTCTCCCTCACCCCTGCCGACCCCCTGCCACGCTAGCCCTCCCTCACAGCACAGGGCCTCATTCCCTCGGGGCCTCTGCCAGTCCCGCAATCCAGCCATATGTTCACCCCCTGGCAAATATGCAAAGGTTGGAGCACGCTTTGTGCACCTTCCTGGAGTATAAGCACGTTGCCTCTCGTCATAGAAGAGCTCCCAGCTGCCAAAGCAGTTTCAGGTCTCAGCTGCCCCCATAAGGGAAGGGCTACACCCAGCAGCTCCCTCACCCTTCCCAGCTCCAACGCCAGACACGTGCTCCTTGGGCCTTGGCTCCACTGAGAAAGCAAGAGGGAATCTCATCACTACCTTCTAGTAGCGCATTACAACTTCCTATAACTCTTTTCATTCAACACAGATAATATGAGCAGTTTAGACTGGCATAAGATAAGTAGGAAAAACCACTTGAGACAACTTCAGCCAGGGCAGGCCTCCTCTGCCACCTGCATCAAAGTGGCCTCCCTGAGTGCAGCGTCCAGCCCAGGCTGTCTCAGCCCAGCGCTCTTCCCAGCGACATGGAGACAGTCAGTACATCCCACATGAACGCTCGTAAAATGAACTATGCTGCACTATAGTGCTTGTCAAGGCAGTTGTAAGATACTAATCGTTTGAGGCATTGCTTAAAAAAAAATACAGAAGGTTGTAAATATACAAGATAACTTTAATAGTTATCGGTGTGGCCAATCTGTTTCCTCTCCTTCCCCCACCATCTATACATCATGCCATTTGTTTATAAATACTCAGTTTTTTAAATTTATGCTAATGCCACTTTATGAGTGCTGTTTCTTTCTTTGCTTTCAGTCGGCTAAGATGTTCTCTTACGCGGGATGGCAGCAAACCTGTAACATCCTGTTTTTCATCTTCTCCGTCATATTTTTCATCAGCCGCTTCATCATCTTTCCCTTCTGGTAAGTAAAAGGCGCGATTCCTGCCCGGAGTCACCACACCGAGGCGGTGTGGCCTTGTTAAATCAAACTCTGCCTTCTCTCCCACGTTGATTTCGAGTCATGTGCGCTAAGTCCAGCAGGAGAGAAGAATGTAAGGTCCACTGTTATAAATAGCTTAGAGCTGCCGCCTCAGCCCCCGGTGTGGACAGCCTTATTACAAAGGGAGGTGGCAGTGGTAGCCCAGGAGTTAGAAGCAGCTCTAACTCCATGCCTTGTGTTGGATCTTCGTGATTGGTAGCATTTCCGCTTAGTCAAAGCAATGGCGTCGGTCAATCAGTAGCTCTTTAAAAGAGCCTGCAATGATCATATCCATCACTGACTGAAGCCCAGACAGACACTGGATTAGGCCTTTTTGTACCTTGCCTCTGGTCTACATGACAGACCGTAGAGGTAGGTATCATCACTCCCCCGCGCAGATGAGGAAACTGATACCAACGCTGTGATAGTTCTGCTGTTGATGGGCTCTTGATCAGGTTGTTGATTTGAGTTAGCCCAGAGCGGGCAGTGCATCTCCTTTCACAGTCATGCCTTTGGCAAACATGATTTTCCCTGTGCTGACAAACAGAAGCCAGAGTAAACAGATGAGGGTGCTTCGGAACAGCTAATCACCAGTTACAGCTCGGGTCTAGTGGAGGAGCTTCAGATGCTCCCCATGGAAAAAGTAAAGCGATCCGAAGAGCAGGGTTCCTGGAGGGAAGGACGGAGGCTCAGCTCCCAGGCCTGAATCCTTGCAGATGGACAGCACCCTTGACTGCCCCCCCGGGGAGACTGGTGAGAAGGTGCTGTCCTCCCACTGGAAGTCGCTGCATCCTTGGAGCCGGAACTGGGTTTCTAGCAAAGAGCACAGTGGTTATTCCTTGGGGCAAATCAGGCCTGGGTTTAAATCCTGGCTCCACTCTTATAACCTGTGTGACTTTGAACTGGTTAGATAAGTTACTTGTGCCTCTATTTTCTCATCTGTAAAATGAAAAAGGGCCGCCGTGAGGTTCCACTGAAGTCACCCATATAGCATTACTGGGGACGGTGTTTGGAACATACAGAGGACTCAGGGGATGCCAGCGTCACTAGTGGGCTATTAGTGAGTATCCAGGGAATTGGAGTTTAATCTACGGTCAAATCTGAGACGGTGCTGAGGACACTGTCCTTGGTTGATGAATCACATGCTTTCACTCTGACTGCACAAGCGTGTTTGTGAAATCACCACATTGTACAAAAAATAGTCTCCGATGGGCTAAGTCTGATCTGCAGTTAACAGCTGAGTTGTGGCTCTTCAGACTTCCCTGATGCTCTCTACCCAACACTTCTCCATTGATTCCTCTTATTATGTTCAAAAGGCACTAGAGGTTCCAGTTTTCTGATGCCACCTAATAGCCCTATGAAAACTCGATGACTTAAGACTGGTGAGCAGAACTTTTCTGTGCAGAACCATAGAACAGCTATTTTAGACCTCAAGGGTTACATAGGGTCTCTTGCAAGTCAGTCTTTGCTTTGTTTTTCATTCATAGCCCCTTAAAATGTACCAAACCTAGAACGGCTCACAGGCTCCAGAACAGTTTGCAGGTCAGATGTTATGTCCAGGCCTTGGTCTGAAGTCCTCTCCCTGTATTTAATTTTTTATTGCAAGAACATTAGTTTATGTCACTGTTGAGGTTCCAGTGTTACATTTCCTCACCACATCTGCCACCACATGTGCAGCAGGCTTCTTCCGCTCCTTACCACCCACCTCCCCACCCCGCCCACCTCCCTCATCCCCCACCCCAGTCTGGAAGCTACTCTTTGTTGTCAATCCAGAGGTTTGGTTTCATTTTTGTTTTCTTTCTATTTTACAAATGAGTGAAATCATATGATATCTTTTCTGACTTATTTCGTTTAGCATAGTCTCTCCTTATCCATGTTGCTGCAAATGGCAGGATTTCCTCTTTTTGTGGTTCGCTCGTGTCCCCCGGCAAGTGTTCCCATCATCTCTACCCTTCCTTCTGTGGCGGTTGTGACTAATACTGAACAGGTGGGTGGGGACAGCTTTCTTGACTTATTCTTCCATGTTCTCCAGGTAAATACCCAGGACTGGGATTACTGAATCATAATTGTTTGAGGAACTTCCATGCTTCTTTCCAGTGATTCTCACCAACAGTGGGTGAAAGTTCCTTTTCTCCACGACCTTGCTAACATTTATTATTTCTTGACTTTTCATAATAGCCTTTCTTGGTTGTGTGAGGTGAGATCTCATTGTGATTTTGATTTTTACTTTCCTGCCACATCATTTCATGAGTCTGTTGGCCATCTGTAGATCTTCTTTGGTCAAAAGTCTGTGTCCTCTGCCAAATTTTTATTTTTTAATTATTTAAAAATATTTTTTTTATTATTTAAAAAATTTTTTAAATTATTTAATTTTTAAAGATTTATCTACTTACATATCCAAGAACTGGGGTGCAGGCCAGAGGTGCAGGGAGTGAGAGGAATCACCAGAGACAGAGTGGGGAGCAGAGCAGGCAGATCAACTGAACACTCATGCAAAGGGGAGCAGCAGGTGGGTCAGGAGAGCTCTGCTGTGCCCTTTGGGTCAGCTCCCTGCCTGGGGATCAAACTCATGCTGCAGTGGCTGTGGACAGCTTCATAGTGCTGTGTTTTAACCCATTGTGCCACCAGGGAGGGCCCACTGCCACATTAATTGTGTTATATGTTTTATTGTTATTGATTTGTAAGAGTTGTCTATATACTTTGAATATTAACACCTTCAGACATCTCCCTTTAAAAAACAACATTTATTGGCCATTATCTCTTATAGTTCTGGGAGTTCACAATCCTCAGTTAAATGGTTTTCACTTAGGATCTCTCGTGGCTCGGTCAGATGGTGGCGAGGCAGTCAGAGGGTGCCTGAAGTTGGAATTTTCTTGAAGGCCTCCTTACTCACAAGTTTGGGTAATACATACAAAGTCAGCCTTGGTACTGATTTGTCTGCTGGGGCCTGGTGGGCCTGTCAGCTGCAACACCTGCTGTGGCCCCTTGGCTGGGCTGACCCCTCACAGAGTGGCAGCTGGACTTCAGTTGTGAGCAGCTCAAGAGAGATATCCCCCTGCAGCTCCAGAAGGCGGCACATATCATGGCCAGTCTCACTTTCCTCATTGGGAGCAGACCACTGAGTCCAGGGCCTAGACAAGGAGGAAATTAGACTCCTTTTCTTGAGGGGAGTAATGTCAAAGAATTTACAAACTTATTTTAAAACGCCACGGAAGCTTCCAGGCTGGGGAACTCTTGAGAAGCTTCTAAGTATATCCGCTGTGGTTGGGTTTTGATTTTAGCAAGGAAGGATATCCATCTCAGACTTTCCCATGAGGTCTCAAAATCAACAAGCAAGCTTATTCTTGCCCAATAAACAATTGAACATCACTTTGGGGTTGAGTGAGTGTGGAGGTGGTGTGTGACTTTCCCACACATCCTCAATGTTAAACATCCTATACTTAAGAGCTCATTCTCTTGCCAGCCTTTCTTGATTTCAGGGAGAATTAGTTACATGCCTGTGGGCTTTTCCGAGCTTGATACCTCACTGACTTCACTGGCCATTACAGAGGGCTGTCCCTGCAGTCTTCAGGAGCTGAGCTTTCCAGGATCCCAGTGCTAACAGACTTCTTTTTTTTTTTTTTTTTGCTGTTACAAACTTTGTGTGCTGATGTTGACTGCTCCTCCTTGTTTGGGAGGTTGAAGAAAACCTCACCAAGCAGTCAGAAGTTTGGAGGTGGCTTTTAATGGTTTTTAAAGAACCAGTTGCAATGAATTATTGCAGCATGGCAGCCCAGCCATACCTTGAGTGTGTTGCACAAACGGCGTTTTGGTGCCAGCGAAAATCCAGTTCCCTGTGGGGAGCCTTGCTCCAGCTCTCAATCTGCAATGTGCAACTCTGCAGATTCATTTTTCAAGGACATTTGATGAGTCCATGTTTGTTGGGAATTTACTACGAACCAAACAATGTGCAGATCATAGACCCGTGTCAAGATCCAGACATTTTAGAGGTGCTGTTTGGGGGACAGTTTGCAGTCTAGTTCTGTTTTGTGACACATTTTGTGCAAAGCTAAAGGGTTGCGAGAGAGTGGAGAAAGCTGACTGAGCGGGAGGTGGCGTGAACAGCAGAAACTTGCTGGAGCCTGAGAGAAAGATCTGAGCGGGTGTATTCCCCTTGCCTCCCCATCCTTCACCCGCAGCCCAGCCCCAGAAGTGTCTGCTTCCCTGACACTTCCCTTTAGGTTGGGGCTGCTGTGTCCCCTGCTCCCCTTCTTCCCTGCTCTTTATGGGGGTCTTATTTAGGGTTCCCGGTCAGTGTCAGTGAGACTTACCTGCACTGATGTCCTGGGCTCTGTTACTGTCGACAAGAGGCAGAATTCCATTTGGCACTGGTCAGCGGCTTTCATCTGCTGGCCCGTTACCTGCATTTCTTTGCATTTTTATTCTAAAGCATTTGCATCTCAGGCTTATGTTTTTCACCCTGTATTCCGACTCTTGTTTTAAAACAATGACTTCTATATCTGTGAATGATTGGATGCATCTATCTACTTGAATATTATGCAAGTAACACTGGAGATTGTCAGTCTAGAAAGACCTCGCCAAGGCCAGGGCAGCGACTTCTCTGACTCACTCTTACCTTCCCTTCTAAGAAGAATGGATAATGGTTTAGTCCCAGCAGGTGGATCAACAGTGAAGTCTGGGATCTCACTCAAGTTTTCCAGTGGGGTGCTGGCTCATTGCTTCCTTCCGGAATTCACGCAGCTGATGGGCTGAGAGGACAGGAAAATGAGGGACAGCGTCGCTCCTGCAGAGGTTCAGAATCACAGTGGAAGGGACTTTTGTAGCCATCAATGTGTTTGTCTATTGGAGGGCTTGGTATTGTTCAGCCCCCATTCCGAAAAGAAGAAACAGGCGTTCCCACCACCTGAGTAAAGCTCCAGAAACTCCCTTGTCATCCAGCACTGATTTACTTGTGGTTGACTTCCCCACCTCTCACTCTTCGGACTCACTCAGGTTTCAGCTGCTGATGAACCAGCTCTCACTGCTGTTGAATAAGGTGCTGGGAAGCCTCGTGGGGACAGGAGATGTTTGTACTAGAAATGGCTATCAGCTTTAGAAAAAGACAGGACAACGGAAGCGGGTGGCATCGAGCAATGTTCTCAGCTGTTGGCAAGAAGGACAAGTGTGAGGTGAGGCCACATGGCCCTTTGCAGCCTCTGAGCCCTGGGGTCTGGCTCTGAGCAAGCCCAGGGCCAGCCTGGCCTGCCGGAGCCTGGTCAGCTTCCTGGGCACAGTGCGAGGGGCCCTGTGCAGCACGCAGCCCCTGGCGGGCGGCCGGGGAGGAGGGCTGCTGGAGCCAGCCACACCCTGAGTCACCACAGCAGATGTGTATCTGGGAACCAGACTTTCCGGTTACACGCCTGTGAAGGAGTCCGCAGATTTCCCCCAAGCCCTCAGTGCCTCCTTGGGCACTGTGCCCTGAGGCTGCCTCCCCCAGCCCTGAGAGCTTGGCACCCCCATACTCGCATCTGTGGAGGGGTCACAGCACGCCCCTTCAGACACAGACTTGAGAAAACCCAGCCCAACCTCTGTATCCGCTTATTTGTTTGGAAACCCTCCAGCCTTGCGTCCCGGGGGTGCCTGTATGCCCTCTGCCCGGGGTTACCCGCTGGCATTTTGTTTCCGTCCCGGTGTCTGCCCCTCTTCCCTCTCCTCACACACACTAGTACGTACCTCTGAGCCGCGCGAACATGGCAGCCCCCTCCCTTCAGTCCTGCATTCCTGCGCGAGCATTTCCTTGGCGCACAGGCCTCTTGGACCCCTTGACAGGAGTCAAGGACACACAGCGCCCGCCCCCTCTGCTGCCTCTGCCGAGGGTCCAGCAGCGTCTCTGTGGGTCCCCCCGCCACCGCCCCAAGGCTGCTGTTGGCCAGCAGCAGCACCTGCCATTTCCGGGCTCATCATCCGGGCTCTGTGCTCCGTCACCCACATCGTTGACGCATTTGCACCCACTGTTTGTTTTTCAGGTGAGGAGCTCAGGTCTTTGCCCCCCCCGCAGCTAGTACAGAGGCACTAAGACTAGCAGCAGGCCGACTGAAGCGCGGGGAGACAGGCTCTCGGACCACACGGGGTGGGTGAGACAGGCCTCGGTCCTCAAAGTGTCTGTTACGGTCTCTCCCGCTGCACATCCCGACAGACCTGCGCCCCTTCTCCGCAGGCGGCTGCTCACCTGTCGCCAGTGTCTGTTCTCATGAAAGGCTCAGTGCAGACACCCACAATTAGCCAAAAAAACCCATTAACTTTTATTTTCATCAGAAAAATACAGCTCTTGGTGTCTGTCGTCAGCCCAGAAAAACCCGCTGCTGTTTATCAGAATCACCTAACATCCAGTGATTCCGAGAGCTCAGATGTGAGGCCAGGCTTTGCGGTCCACGCGAGCGGCCCAAGTGTGTCGGCGGGCAGGGGCAGAGCCGGGTGGAACCCGGGAGAGTGGCCTTTTCCTGGGAGGGCAGGCCGCCCTCAGCCGCCGCGGGCCGTGTGCTCGCTGGCCCTGCAGGACCGTCCCGTCTGCTCGGGACAGGATGGGTAGGGCAGAGGCCGTGTCTTAATCCTCCTTCCCTCTGCTCCTTTAGCAAGAGGAAAGAGCTTTAGGTTGAGCGGTGGCCCATCTTCAGGGAGGCTTCGCAAAGTGTTCCCTCCTCCGCCCTCCAAAGCAGGAACCTGGCCTTCAGCTGCTCTGCGTGTCCAGCATTGCTCTGAGTGCAGTTTGAGGAAAGCCCCGGGCTGGGGAGGCGAGCGTGGTAAGGGCAGTCGTGGTCCCGGGGGCAGTGGCAGTTACAGCGCCAGTTTCTGAGTGATTACTATCTGCTAAGCTCCAGTCTCCCAGCGTGTAATCCGACGAGGTGGGTGGTGGAAGCCAGGGAAGCCAGGGGGCTTACTGAGTGGCACGGGGGAGTCTGACTCCAGGGCCCTGCCCTCAACGCCCCTCTCGGCAGGGGTCTCTGCAGGCATTTGTGTTTTAATGGCTGCCCTTCCCTTTCGAGGGCTCTGTGGTTTGCAAAGCTGCTTGTGTGACCTCACCGACCAAATATACACGTCTCTTCACAAGAACTAAAGTGCTGTGTTTGAGATAGAAACTGACAAAACACAGTGCTGGCCAGGACCGAGGGAGCCTGTGTCCCCTGCCCCATACGAGGCCATCCACTGCCGCAGCTCCCTGGAAAGCGGTCTGCAGCACACACCAGACGTGCTGCTCTTCCTTTAGGATTTGAGATATTCTCGGGACATAATCAAACATTAGCAAAATGTCTTTACAAACAGCTCTCACATGTTCTTTATAATGTAACGAAAATTTGGGAGTAACTTACTCTCCATCTACCAAGTAAGGGTTGGGTGAGTAAATGGTGCGGCCCATCAGTGGATTTCTGTGCAGCTGGTATTTCGGGTGCTGGCCAGCCATGACACACGGGTCAAATCCCGCCACCCAGTGTTCTTGTTCACAAAGGTTATTGGCGTGCACACCACCCGATTCCACTCACAGGCCCTTCTTGAAGAGACAGAATTAAAGCATCGGAGAGCAGACAGACAAGCACGGGAAAGGACACACCCTTCGGGGTTAGCACAGGAGCCTGGGGGGACCAAGCTGGTCTGAACCCTAGCGGTGGTGACTTCACAAGCTAAACACATATCATAATGCACAGAACTGCCCACTGGAACCAGTCAGTGGGATGGTGTGTTAATTGAAAAATAACAAAATTACATGCATGATGTTTGAAAAACAGGCTGGAAGATGATGGACAAAAATTACAAGTGTTTCAAGTGATGATACTATGGACAGTTTCCTTTCCCAGTTTAATAGAACTCAGTTATGATTGGAGTAATACACTTTTTTTTTTTTAAAGATTTATTATTTATTTGTACATTCAGAAACTGGGGTACAGGCCAGAGGCTCAGAGGTGGCGAGAGGCTTCACTAGAGACAGAGTGGGGAGCAGAACAGGCAGATCGACGAAGTACACTGCTGAGGGGAGCAGCGGGCGGGTCAGGAGAGGTCTGCCGCGCCATGTGGTCACCTCCGAGGCAGGCGGGAATTGAACTCATGCGGAAGCGGCTTTAGATTCTCAGTGCTGTGCTTTAACCCGCTGCGCCACCAGGGAGGGCCTGGAGTAATACACTTTTAAACAAACCTACTGAGCCACTACACTCGTCATGGCAGTGTATAAGTCTGGGGAGACAAGAGGTAGCCCAGAGTACTGTTCCGAGCCCACGGCACGCAGCTTGTCTGGGTTATTGACAGCAGTTCAAATCATGTCCATAATTTGTTTATGAAATTAATAAAAATACGTAGTTTATGCAATGAATACATTTATGCAATTAAGGTATGCATTTCACATTAGAAGGCCAAAGTAATATTCTTATTACTCTTCATATACTCCTTCTTCTTCAAGCCTCTTTCATCTGGAAAATTTACTTTTGTAGAATTTCCTTTTTCCCTTTGATTCTGAAGAAGTAAATTTGTGTCACAAGGCAATGATAAACCTATGTAACCATGTTGCATCCCACTTGTTCTACACGTTTTCACTCCCACTCCTGGAAAGGTGAGTAGACTCGTGTGTAGTCTTCGGGACACAGAGGAAAAGTGGGGTGCAGAAACACCGGCGTGGATGCTGTGGGGTGATAAAAATCTGCTTTTTAATGTTTTAATGTTTAATTTCTCTCCTGGAGGCAATTTTTTTTTTCTTTGCAGCATGCCAATAATGATAGAAAAGTTAATATTTTCATATTGTTTTCTCTTGAGAATTTCCTGGACATCATTAGAAATGAAATAAATGGCACATGCCTTGGGAGGAAAAATGTTTGTTTCCTCACTGCAGGTTCACGGGCACATTGGCGGTAATGTTTCCCGTCTGTTTGGTTTTCAGGATTCTGTACTGCACTCTGATCATGCCGCTGCACTACCTTGAGCCTTTCTTTTCCTACATCTTCCTCAACCTACAGCTCATGATCCTGCAAGTCCTTCACCTCTACTGGGGATATTTAATCCTGAAGATGCTCAAAAGATGTATATTCACAAAGGTACGATCTGTTCAAGTTTTGTCGCTCTTAAAGGCGGCTTTTCTTGGCAGCGTGAAGCAAGGCCAGATGGTGGGATATTCTTGCTAGTTTATAATTAACAATTCTTTTATTCCTTGATCTAATTATTGGTAAAAATTTCTCTAAACTGCACTAGATTTCTCACTAAGTGGTTTCTAATGTGCTTGTAAGTAATTGCTTTTATCAGAGGACAGGTTACTATTTTTAAATGTTTATCCAAAAGTCGATTGCTGATTATTAAAGAATGCCCTAATGAGTCTAAATTCGCTTTAGTGGGGACGAGATTTCTGATGACAGTTGAGTGACATTCCAGAGGCATGTGCTTGCGTTTGCCGAGTTCTTGGTTTGCATGTAACAAGTAGGCTCCTCTGAGCCTCCCTACTCTCTGCTCAGTTTTTCAGAACATTTTCCGTCGTCTGACTATACTTTTCTCCGAAAATGTCTTTTACCGTAAATAATAACAAAACAATGCAGTTTGTACAGTAGAAGTTTGTTTTGCTTTTTGGAAGTCAGCTCTGGTCTTTAAGTCTAGAACCGGGTGTGGGGACAACTTCAGCAGTGAACGATACAGGATGTCTGCCCTTGGGGAAACAGCCCATTGTCAGTCGGGGGCCCACTGGCCACTAGCCTCTTCCTCCAGTGGACTGACTGTTCTGTGCCAGAGAGAATCCCAGAAACTTGCTCTTGAAGAAGAGGTAGAAGAAAAAGTAGCTGGCTCGTGGGGACCAGGGACAGTTTCACTGAATAAATGGAGAAGTTGACTTCAGCTTTTAGGGCAAATAAAAAAAAAAATCAGGTCACAACTCATTTTTTGGAAACCATACCCTTAAGGGGATCACAATTAAAGATCATAATTAAAGGTGACAGTTGGCCCATTTGGGGGTGTTACCCTTGCTGTATAACCCAGCATTTTAGCAGCAGCAGCATGTGCTGTATGTGACAAGCATGCGGTCATTTATCCAATAGGTTCATCCCTTGGTCAACTTTCCAGTTAATTTTCCTGCTTTAGCAAGAGTCTCAAAGAACACTGAAGAGCCGACAAAAGAAATGGGCATTGAATCACGGCCCTCAGGGCTTTCCTCCGTCTCTTACTTCTAGATCCAGACAGATGCATAGGAAACTGGGTGACATCTGGGCCAGTCTCAAACCAAACCCTGAAAGGTTTTTTGGTTTGGTTTGATTTGGTTTTTTAACTAAATTACTGACTTGAGCTTGTTTTCTTGAGAGTGAACTCTTTCCCTTCTTGGAATGTTAAGGAAAAAACTTTCATCAAACGGTTCTGGTTCATTAATTTCCTAAATCATTTTTGATGATCTCTGCAAAAGCTGTTTTTCTCTAAATGACTGACGACATTGAAGCAGGTGATAGAGAGCTAAGAATTCGAGCACTTAGATCATCCGCACAGCCAGGGGTTGGTGTGAAGGAAGGAAGGGCAGTGGCTGTCATCCCTGCGGGCCAAGCTGTCCTAGAGCGCCTGTGCCTAGGCAGAAACTGGTCCCTTGTCAACCGGTGAGTGACAATAATTACTGGCCTGGAGGGGATCCAGGCAGAACAACACTTGGAAGCCAGAAGGTACTCTTGTTTGGTTTCATCATGATTTTCATATTTCTGATCTCTAATGGGTTGTGCCAGGCCTGATTAAAAACCCAGCGGGCTGGGGAGCTGTGGACAGGAATTCCTGATTTCTCATGCTGTACTTTGGAAAAGCTGTTTCCAATTGCAATTTGACAGCAGCAGTGGGGCCCACGGCCCTAGCCCTTGCCTGTGTATGACTTCAGCTGGCTGCGTGTGCACTCTATTCTCCATAGCAGTGGCAAAACTGGCTGTGAAATCAGCTTGCTCCTCCAAAGCCATAAAGCCTCCTTTTAAAGAATGCCATTTGAAGGCATAGTGGGTTGCATTAGGAAGGGGAGGCCTGGGGTAGAGGCAGGAGTTGAGATTCTTAGAGGAACAAGCAACAAGTCCATTTAAAAAATCTTCAGCGTTTATACACACATCAGTTGTTACTAAGGTTCTAATTATTGGATCTTTAAAAAATGGGTTTGCTGAAGTTCCAATGATAAAGCTGAACTTTCAGATCTTTCAAATTTTTTAACAAAGGTTGAGCTTAACCCTCTAAGCACTTTATAATAGATAGTGTTTAGAAGTAATTTGAATATGCAAATTAAGAAATAATTTGGGGGAGCAAAGCACCCTGTTTTGGTTGGAAAGTTACAAAATGTTTTGTTAATCTTTTAATGGCCTTTATGAAATCACAAGATAGACTGGAAAAAAAAAAGTGATTATACTTCTTGAAAACAACAGTTACTTCCCCTAAACAGTATGATGATATTTACATCTTGTTTCCCCTAATCTGTAAATGTTTAGGGTTCCCCCTAAACATGAACATCACGCACATAATGAATGAACACCATCCACATTTGTTTCCGCTCTTGAATACCTTAAGTATCACTGTAACTTCTGGCACTGACATGTGGACCACGGCTAGCAAGCATCTTGAAGCTCGAGAACAAGACTTGGCCCCAAGTGTCATTGGTCCCCATAAGATGGGGGCTGGGGAGGAACCCCCCGTCTGCACATCACATAGGGAAGCATGATGGGCGGACATGTTCTTCTTGTCATTCTCCTCGCAAACACGAGAAGAGCTTTGCAGAGGAAATTAGAAGAAGCACAGCCTGCTTTTGCTTAATATGACTTAAGAGAACTTGATCACCCTTAAGCTCTTACTTTCTTCTGTCTAAATATCCTACTGGGTGCTGGCCAACTCAAGCATGTCTCTGAACCATCCAGCCTGGTTCTGGGCCAGGATGCAGGGGGAGGAGGGGCAACCAGCAGCCCTTGAAGCCTGGCTGGAGAAACTAGCCCCTTGGCAACCTGCCCCAGCCATCTGCACACGCAGGCAGGCGGGCGGGCAGAGCCTCAAGGCCACAGACTGACAGGGGCACGCCTCGTCACAGACTGACAGGGACATGCCCTGAGCTATTTCAGTAAAAGAGAGGGAACTTCCTCCTGAGGAAACTGAGGTTTCCCCAACCTCGCACAGTCATTTCATGGTAAAGCCGAAACTGGAATCCAAGACCTTAACTTGTAATGCTTTATCTCATGTAATTGTTTTTGATTCGCATGGAAGGCAGAAAATTAATAAATAGAGAATTAATTTTAGAGTTTTTTTGGAGTAAAACACAGTGACCACATAAACTGAGTAATTAAGATAATAGATAAAAACCCAACACAATTCCTTTAACTTAATTTTTAAATTTTTTTAAAGATTTATTTATTTACTTATTTATTTACGCATACAGAACTGGGGTACAGGCCAGAGGCACAGGAGCAGTGAGCGGATTCACCAGAGACAGAGTGGGGAGCAGAACAGGCTGACAGAGTACACTGCTGAGGGGAGCAGTGGGCGGGTCAGGAGAGGTCCGCTGTGCCCTGTGGGTCACCTCCAGGGCGGGGATCGAAGTGGCTTTAGCTTCTTAGTGCTGTGCTTTAACCCACTGCGCCACCAGGGAGGGCCTATTTTTTTAATTTTTTAAAAACACACGAATATGTGTGTGCATGTTTATTTTTTAATCCCAGTCACTTCTAGGTAAACAATTAGAGTCATAGCTCCATGCACAGCTTCTGTGTGGATTCAAACCTGGCGCTCACGTTTACTGGCTGTGGGGTGTCGGAGACATGACTCCTGTCATCGCCTCTGCTTCCTCCAGCCATGTGGGGTGACGATGCTGTACCTGCTTGCCGGATCAAACTCTTAGAAGAGTGTCTGGCACGTAGTAACGCGTGGCAGGGATCAACCTTCATCGCCATTGCATGTTTCCTCTTTACTCAGGGATTTGCACCAAATCCCAGAGCACAGATGGGCCCCCCAGGCCTGACGGTCACTGTCCGCGGCCCTCGCTTCCTCCCGCATGGCTGCCCTGCAGTCAAGGACTTCACAGTGCTTGACTCGCTGCCGAGGGCCCCACTGGCAGTTTTCTATGTTGTCTCCCACCACTTGGCTTTTGTGACCAGCACTGTGGATGATCCCTTTTGCCTTTCTCGGATATCAGCACCTTAGGGAAGAAATACAGAATCTATGATCTCTAGGAAGCTTCCAGATCTCTTTTGTTAGTAGATAGTAGTGGATGTGAAACTTTCCTATGCTGAACAAAGCCTCCTAAAAAACAGCACAGGGCTGGTGATTGAAACAGGGTGTTACAAAATGTTCTGTTAAGTTTCCTCATTTCCAATGTCTGCCTGTGCAGACTAACTACCCCCACCAAGCTACTCAAAAACAACAGTGGAATTTGTAAACTTAAGATGATGTGTAACGTTACTGGGCTCAAAGAATTTCAGATTTAAATATGCTCCCTCACTGTACTTTGAGCTCAGCAACAAAACTAGAGAATCCCGTAGACTTGGGGAGCTGAAAGTGCCTGCCGGGACACTGGGAGCCTCTCTTCCGGCCTCACTGCTGTACTGTGTTTTACCCAGTTGCGGTCACTGTGGGTAACAGAGGAGAGCCAGGAGAACTGAAGAAGTCCGTGACTCGCCCAGGTCACCAGGAGGGGGACTCTCATGGCCCTGAGACGTCAGAGCCGGTGTCCCTGAGGCTGTGTTCTGTCTCCCCAGTAGTCCGGTGTTGGTCCCCAGGGCGTGTGAGAGTGTGTATGATTTGTGGGGCTGGGGTGCTGTATGTGTTCCTCTGTGAACTTAGCATGGCCCCTGGTACGCTCTCCCCAATTTCAGACTTTGGACTCTGCTCAGAGATCTGTGTCACAAAACCTCACAAGTACTCACTGAACTCCAGCTATTTAGACTGTCATTGCGGAACCCCCATTAGGGGATTGTGGGACATTCAGCAAGCGGAAACTCGATTCTGTATACACCTGACAGAGTGAGTTGTGTTAAGGACCTAAGGAGCAGGGACAACCGTTCATGTAGCTCCAACCCGTAAAAGAACCGTCATGTACCAGGACTGCGAGCAGGCCGGAGGACAC